GCCAGGACTAACACAGGGGGATGGTACAGGATTTCAGTTTGGAAAACAATATGAGGAGGGACCAGTTAACACCTCCCCCCTTGCCACGTGTTGTATGGCCCCCTCCCCGGTTCCTTTTTAAAAGGTTTTAAAAAATACATCAGGAGATAACATAATTTGGCCTGTAGAAGGCCACTGTGACAGCCCTGCTTTTTTAGAAGTGGCCAGTTCTTTGGCTTTAGCAAACTGCAAATGAGGTCAACTGCCCTTCATATGACCACTGTCTTCTGCATGAAAACTCACCGTTTTCTCTCCATTTCTCAGCCGTGGCACAAAAGAGGAAGGGGGCAACAACTCCAGCTTTTGACAGGCTGTGCTATGTGGCAAAGCATATTTGAGAAGGGGAGGTGATGAACAGTTGGAGGTGCCTAAGTGGGATGAAGCAAGCTGACTGCTTTGCTCTTTTAGGGATGATGGCAAAGAGGCACCAGCTGGAGGACACGGTTTGCTCAGAGCATTTTTCTGCAAAGGCCCACTTAGAGCTTCCAGTCTAGAAGAGAACAAGGAAGACAAGATTGTTTTCTCTTTTGAGAGAGTCCAGATACAGATATCCTTGACATGAAAGAGGAAGATGCAGAGAACCTATACAGCCTTCTGCAGACATACATTGGTTTACAAGAAGGGATGCAGATGCAGCTTCCAAGGTGGTCTACAATTCAGTAAGTGATAATCAGTAGATATTTTGTGCACATGCTTTATTCTGGTTACAAAAATATATATGCCTATTTAATGACTTGGAAAAATTGAAAAGAGGCAGACCTATGATGGAAGCAAGGAACAAAACACAGATTGTAGAGAGCAACAGTATGGAATGAAGCACTGCATGCCATGCTCGAAAAACCTAATTGGAGAAACAGGTACAATCTTCACACGTGCAGCTTTTCTCTACAACTACAATGCACGACCTAGAACTTTTTTTACCTTTATTTAAACAAAAGATAAGACTTTCAAACTCCTAACACATCCTCTAGATTCCATGCAGCCTTGCAACTCTTACGTTTCACTTATAACCGAATGGTTGTTCTTCCAGACTATCGTATTTTGTCAAACCTAGAATTCTCACTGCAGAAGAGTCCTGCTCTTCTTTAGGCTTTTACACCTTTAGCAAGAAAGCAGCAGGAACTGCAAAACAGTAGCAGAATTTCATGGGAGGACCAGAATGCTTGCTTGGCATCTTGGCTAAAAGTGACTAGATCTCACTAGGCCCACAAAAGGGCACTACAAGCAGTCCTTATACAAAGCTTGCTCAGGCTGCAGTTTGTCATGCCTGAGAGCAGTTGTGTCCCTACCCGTTCCAGTTGGAGCCTGGCATTTCCATTCTCTCCAGAGACTGCAGCAGGAAATCAGGCCTGCGTGGCTGCAGCCTTCTCTGCCGGGCTGAGTACCTGTGCGTAAGAAAGAAGGTAAGGTTAGTGGAGTCATGATGGAGCTTTTTTAATTTTGTATTTTTAATTAGGATCTTTGAATGTTCCATTTTTATTTTATTTTTGTAAACCCGCCTCTGGCAGGTTCCTCTAGAGGGAGCATAGACATGTTATAAATACATACATACATACATAAGCCAGAAAAAAAGCTATTCTGTGCCAAGCTTGGCAGGTCTGTTCTAGATGGAGATGCTGTTCTCCAGCTCTCCCTCCTACGTCACCATCCCTGGGGTTAGCTTCTCTGTACATCCCAGGAAGCACTGTATTTGTTAATCAAAACAGAACCTCTTTCAGGTTCTTCCTCTTCCGTAACAGAAAGAATCCTAAGCATTATAAACTCCCTTGACTGACTCTTACAAATTTCCAGCTCTCCTAAAGACCCTCCCCAAAGTTTTCCATAAGGTAACATTTCATTATATATTCCAAAGAAAGGGGGAATGTTCTGCATTTCAAGGTATTCCTGCCTGGGCTGGCCCTCATGTTAGACAGAACTACATATTAGAAACACAGGGCTCTCCCACCATCACAAGCAGTGCTTTCCTTGTGTCATGGCACCACTGTGTTGCACTGTGTTCTTACCCCCACTGGTAGAGGACAGTCAATTTGTGAAGCAAGTGTGAGAAACTGTCACACAGATGGATCTCAGGACACTGAAGATGCCATTATCAATAGCATCTCTGTGTCACCCATAACAGGAAGTTCCATCCTTAAGCAAGATCGGCTCCTACTCTTAAAATCTGTGGCCTGAGAGAGAAGGGCCAAGACTGAGCTGCTGTGGCTGGTTTCAAAGCAGGCACTGCCCTGTATGTGGCACCTAAGAATATATAGCTTTGCATAATTAAAGCAGCTATGGTTACTTGGATAGGCTGTGTACTAGAGAGAAGGAAATCTAACTTGTCCCAGTTCGGATGTTCAAGTATAAGTTAGCAAAGAGAATGAAAGAATTTTCGTTTTAACTCACAACTCAGTAAGGATGGAGTCTCCAGCAGCCAAGCAGAGTCGTAGATCTTCACTCTGAGCAGGCCTTAGCCCAGAGCACAGACTTGATGCTTCCCCTCTACCTCCACCAGCCTTAGAGGCTGTATCTGGCATTGGCACCTTGAACGAAACTCGCTTCTTGAGTGGGGCCCCTGGAAGAGAGAGGCCTCGCTTCTGGCAGAGAGCCTTCTGCTTCCAGAGCATGGCACAACGATAGACCAGATGGTGGTGGTGGCTAGCCATCTGCAATTGGAAAACAGCAGTAGACTGTGGGGTGCATGGAAGACAGGACTACAAGGGAAGGGAACAGGTGCTCCTCAGTGTGCTCCAAAAAAGAGATGGGCAGGCAGACCTAATGGACTGATCATGAGTCCTTGGCCTGGATCACACATATCGAGCAGCACCAGGATAAAGTCAGGCTAGCACCTGTTACCCATCTCATCCCTTCAGGATGCAGCTCACTCTCTTTTGGCTAAAGCCACTGAGCTGAGCTAAGGCACTAAGAAGATGGGATTCAAGTATGTGTGTGTGTTTGGCTTTATCCAGATCTGGACTCCTTTAGTGCAAATTGGACCAAAACCAGGATAGTGCCACCAACACCCAGGAAATTCCAGCAAGAAATATTTTCCCAGTATAATGCAGGAAGAAATGCTTCCAGGCCCATCTCAACTAGATATGTGCACTAGAGAGACAGGAGGCTGAGATAACTCTTCCCATTTTCTTGCTCCCCCCCCACCTCAACTAGAGACAGGGCTGTCCTCTCAGGACTTGCAATGACCATGCATAACTTCTAAGTGATATAAGAGCTAACATGGATTGGAGTCCTTTATGCAATTGGTGATGGGACAAATTGGCTTTTTGCTGCCCTACAGGTGACAACCTGACTTTCCATCAGGGAAAAATGACAGCTTTGCTAGCGGCTTTGGGCTTCCCAAGTCATCCATCTTGTCCTGAAGCACAGCTGGGGATCCAATTATCCCTTCCAGCAAATACACCTGTATTATTTCAGCATCAGAGCAAACCACACTCCCAGAGATAAGGCTGCGGGATTCTAAGGCATATGTTTGCTATCACAAGAGCACCAAGCTCAGCCTATGCTGCACAAGTCCTCGGTCACATGAAATGAATATACCCTAACTACTGACTCAAGTCTTAATTGAAAAATTCTCCTGTGATCTAAGCTAAACCTCTGCAGCCTTGAAGGATTAAGACGAAGCCCAAGTCTGGTGCAGCAGACAGCACGTGATGTTTGAAAATGGGAAACCCAGAACCAAGCTAATTTTTGGCTGTGGAACCTGCCTGGGGGACCACTGTTGTGCATCCTATCATTCTGCTCTGCAAAACTGGAAGCCTTCCTCCAGCCAAGGAAGCCTTCCATCTTAAGTTGGAGCAGAAAGTTTCCCAGTGTTGCTGAACGGAGTTCTAGCAAGGGGCCATTCTCTCTTAGGCATATACAGTACTTTTTCAGCATGGGATCCCCTGAAGAAGAAAAAACATGCTCAGTCATGTGTAAAGACTGCATCGGCCCAATTCTGAGTAGTCCGGGAAGGCTCAGGACGGTCCTGAAGCCCATCCCACTCTTTTTACCTTCAGCTGGTGCTGGGCCTGCAGCTTCCCTCGGAATTGCTTCATGCCAGCTGCATATCTCAGAATGCGCGTCACACCCTCCCGCAACAAGTCAGACCGGTAAACCTCCGCAGCTTTCTGTATGCGGGACTTTTTCCGTCGCCATTCCAGGACAGATCCTACCCAAGCATCAAATACCTGCAGTGAAGGCACACAAGAGACTGGAATGGAACACTGCACTTAACCAGAGGGTTTCTTCTCATTGGTGGAATGGAGACCCTTGGTGTAGCCACTGAACTATTTGGATGGCAGGTGCTCCAACTGTAATGAGTCCTACTATGTGAGACTGCCACCCAGGATGCCCTCAGCTTTTTAGCATCCCTCTCAAGAATACCCTTCTCCTTCAGGGTTTATTATCTTTGGTGGAATGACGTTAGACTCCCAAGCGATGTGTGATTCCTTGGACTTTTACTTCTCAATGCAACATAAAGAGTTGGAAAGAGAGGGGGAAAGACGCTTTGGCCCTTCCCACACTGGTGATTTCCCCAGGTTTCTTGCTGTTGGGAAGTTTTCTTCTCACTTACCCACAGTATCACAGTGCCACTGGGGAGGGGCTGTAGCTCAGTGCTAGACCATCTGCTTTCCATGCAGAAGGCCTCATGCTCAATCCCCAGCATATCCGTTTGAAAGGACCAGGTAAGAGGTGATGTGAAGGACCTCCACCAGAAACCCCAGAGATCTGCTGCCAGTCTGAGTAGGCAATACTGAATTCTATGGACGAATGGTCTGATTCAGTATAAGGCTACGTCATGTGTGTTCACCTGGGCTTTCCTGTATTTTCTGCGATCTTTCCTAACCCTGCTTTGCTCTGACGTTCTGGGAAACATCACATTTTCCACATTCTGCCTACACAGTACCCATTCCCCCTGCCCTAGTCCCTACAGCAGCTACTCCCCCCTCCCGCCTGCATGCCACAAGGCATTGAGTTTGTTTTTCAATCAGCAGTTGACATCTCAGAAAAAGTTTCCCCCTGTAGTGCAGGAAGGATCGGGAAATGGCCACCACGGGGGGGGGGGGAGGATGGGAGGGCTGCCATCTGGAAGCCCCCTTGCCACTGGGCTGCATCAGCAGCTGTAGAAACACCAGGGTTTCCATACGGAAGCGCTGCCGCGGGGGGAAGTCCTTCGTGCTCTCACTGCTCGACTGCCACTGAGCCTCTTCCTTCCCAACTGTATGGTGCTAACTCATTATTTCTCACTCCGGGATACCACGTCTTACCTTCCCCTGCAGCGAGAGGGACCAGTGCCACAGCGCTCGCACAGTTTCCTGCTGTTCCCACCGCCTGTGTGCCAACTGTTGATGAGGGGAAAAAAAGGCCCCACATAAGCCCATGTGGTCCTGGTTACCAAGTTGTACAGTTTGCAGGCAACAAACTCAGCCGGATACCGAAGAAAGGGATAGTAACAGAAGATGGTCAGATACACAGCTCAGTATCCTTTTAAAGGATCTTGCATTGCTCTCGCTTTCTAGCTTCGGCTCACAGAACAGCTGCCCAATGCCAAGGCCCTGGCAAGTATCACCCATTGTTTTGTTTTTTGCCATCAAGTGACAGCTGACTTCTGGCAACCCTGTGGAGTTATCAAGGCAAGAGACGTTCAGAGGTGGTTTGTCATTGCCTGCCCCTGCGTCATGCCTCTGGTACTCCTCGGAGGTCTCCCATCTAAATACTAGCCAGGGCTGACCCTGCTTAGCTCTTGAGATCAAATGAGATTAGGCTGGCTTGGACTATCCAGGTCAGGACCATCATCTGTTGCAGAGAAGAGTAATGAAAACCAGCTATTCTGCCACCATGGTCAGCTTCAGCTGCACTCCCCTTCCTCCCTCTATAGACAGAGCCACTCAGAAAACACAAACGTCACCAGGTCCCACCAGCCAAAATTTTTCTCTTTTGAACTTGTAATTCCAACATAAGCTATTGTGACAGGAGAATGGAACAAGATTTTGTGCCTGATCTCACCTGTATCTTCCACGTTGAGAAGCAGGTAGAGAAAAGCCTTTGGGCCATCAGTTGATCCCCTTGTCTCTTCAGAAGCTTTGGGAGAAAATAAGCACAATGATTGGCAGTTTTATTTCCTGAGAGGAGAGGTGCCAACTCTTGCCTGGGAAATTCCTGAAGATTTGGGGGTAGTGCCTTAGGAGGGCAAAGTCGGAGGAGGAGAGGCAGCTTAGAAAGGATGGGATGTCAGCTCTAGGACTTCAGTTTCCCTTACACTCTATGGTACAGCATATTGTTTACCATCTGAAGCAGCCATTTCCTCCAGACCTCTGCACTCTGGGGATCAGTTGTAATGCCAGGAGAAATCCAGCTGTACCTTGAGGCTGGTAACTCTACCTTAGGGGTCTCTCAGGGCGCTCTCTCTATGCTTCAGGACTGCAGCACCAGAGATTAGGACAGTCAGGGTTGCATCCACCAGGAGACTCTTAGCCCCTGAAGAATTAGGTGGAATGTAACTTATTTCTGCATGGCTAATTATACTGTTGCCATTAATGGGGAGAGGGGGTACCACACCATTGACTCCTCCATGCCTCATCAAATGATTCTGGAAATGGAAACAAGTGATTTGGCATAATGAGGAGGGAGGGAGAGTGCCCCCCCCCCAGACAAGCCCTCTCACAGGAGGAGGAAAGGCTGAGTTCCTTTCTGCTGAGTTTTTCAGTCCCAGGAATGAGAGGCAGCCCCATTTGGTTTTCTTTTTATGTGAAGTTGGTCTTTCTGAAGAATAAGTTGGAAGTATGCAATAGTAAACAGTTTACTGAAGAATGTCCAATGTTACTCAAATATATGTATTGTAACTAATATGAATATGGAAGAAGAACTTAGGAAACGGAATGGAATTGCATGTAACAGGTGGTACAAGATAACAGGAGTCAGAATAGGAAGTAATTCTTGTTTAGTAATTAGGTATAATAGGAGCTAGTGGATGAGCCGGAGAACACTTTCTATTAATAAAGGGGGTGAATAGTATAATAGATTGTTGGAAAGTAAGATTAATATTTTGTATTATTGTTCACTATAGAAATGAATAAACTGTGAATGGGGGGGAAAACCACTATGGTGAAAAAAATCTCTTTCATCCATCTAGGTTTCTGTCTTGGCTGGACTGGCCTCCAATGTATTGGCCCCCCTTCATCCTATTATTACTGATTCCAGGCCGTGATTCAGGATATCCACTGCCATATCTGGAGCAGGGAGCATTGCTCATAGAGCATGTGTTCTGTCCAGAACAAAAAAGGAGCCACTGCTGTGCTCATTCCATCGATCTGGTCTTCACCAGCTTCTATCTTCATAAACAATCCATTTATTGTTTTTTTTGGCAGCAGATTCTCTCAAAGCAGTGGCTGCCAGAACAAACAATAAAGAGCTGCTTTGTGAACACAGCTGTAATGTATGTGGGGGGAAGCATTGTCTTCTGCTCTATTTCTATTCCAGAGATAGCAGAGGCTTAGGAGGAGGGGGAAACAGAGCAGTTACTTCTCCTTTTCCTTATCGGACAAAATGAAAAGCAGAAGGGAAGATAACGTAAGCATAAACCTGATTACACTGTGTAAGATAGCAACCTCAGTACAGTATCTGTAAGAGCCATCGTGCCCACCAATCCGTTTCCTGGCACCCAGCTGTCCTTCCCGCAAATACCTTCCCTACATGTCACTGGAGAAGGAGGTGCTTCACAAGAGCTCAGGAGGTGTCACCTTTGGGTCTGCATGGAGCACCCACTCGGATATAGCTGCCAAATCTTCCAACATTTTGTAATTGCTTCCCATGGCAGCTGTTTCTTGATTGGTCCTGCCCCCAGAGCAGCCATTTTGCAGAGCCATCCATGACTATTTTTAAAAATTCTAATAGTGTATGCAAGCTCAACAAGGTCGGAGACCCATGACAGGACTTACTTCTCAGTAAGCATGGACACAAACAGCTGATGAGAACTTGCATTACTCATGGCTAAATTCTTCAAAGGTTATACAGACCATTCCTGGTCAGATTCTGCCTGTCACAACCATCCTCTGTAGCAGGAAGCCTGGCTTCGTATTCTTTATTTAATGTTTTGGCATCTACTATCTGTTAGAGAGAGGAATTCTCAGACCATCTCACCATCCTTCTGATGCACCAAAGGTGATACTGCTTCCACCAGGCCACACACTTGCTAAGCAGCTGCCTCCTGTGGTGTTGCACTGCCATGAGGAGCAGCCCCCTCTGCCTCGAGGATCTGATGCAGTACTCCTTCCAAAGGATAAATGCAGCCTGTAGCTTCACTGTCCAAAGCGAAAGAAAAAAACTAACATAGCAGCAAGGGAAGAAATAAAAGGGGGGCAAGTCTGAAACTGGATCAATTAGTATATGCCATCTATTTGCTTGAAATATGTTATTAATGTTTTAACTATTTTATCTAGACGTTTTTATGAATGTTGTACATTGCCCAGAGCCCTGCATTGCAGAGACTGGTCGATTAGCAAATCTCCCTTATAAATAAAAGCCGAATGGTGGTGGCACTTCTCTAGAACATTCCACACACTCCAAAATCAGTTCGCTCTCTGATCTGTCATTTAGAGGGTCTCCCTATCCATTGGCTGCTTTGCCTGAGTCCTGCCTCCAACATTCTAAACATTTTGCTAATCCTCTCCCCCCCCATAGCCAGTCAGAACACAGAGGTTATTTGGGCAAAAATGAGGGAGAGCACTCCCCCATGCTAATCTAGAAACAACAGAAGCATGACTGCTAATGTAAGAAAGGGTGCCAAAGCTTGCAAATGTAAGGAAGCATGGAGCAAGAAACCTCTGAAGTCGTCAAAACAGTCCTGAGTAGGAAGGTACAACCCTCTCCCTCACCCCATCTGCAGGCATATACAATTGACATAGAAGCTTCCATCCCCCAGGAGGTGGGAGAGGGGAATGAGATAGAAAACTAAGAGGATCGCCCCCTCCAGTGGGGAACCGATATAAGACCTGCCTCCACTACTGGACAGAAGGGGTCACCCATGTCTGAATGTCCTTTCTCATCTAAGAGGGAATGTGTAACTGCCTGCGGAGAAGCATGTAATGGCTGACTACAGCAGCAAAGTTAGAAACTGGAATCTATGCCAAGCTCGAGCAGGCTGCCTTTACCCAGGGGTACTCTTATGCTCACCAGTATGCAAATGTTTCCTGGCATCCATCACAGCCGCTGCTTTTTGCTGACGGCAGTATGCACGAAGTGAGGTCGTGTCCCTCCAGTGAAGCACCACCTATGTAGAGAAAACAGCCCCCTTCTCATTGTCAGTCCTGCTCCACCTTTTACTGCCCTCTTCCTCAACTGATGGCTCAAAGGTTTTCCCCTATCAGAACTGCACCCCTCCAAGCAGCCTGTGAAGGCTCCACTTCTGCTGCTGCCCACCCTCCTACTCACAATCATCGCTGGTGCCCTGATGCTGTACATATGTGAAATTAACAAAAGAAGCTGTGGGTTAGCTATAGAAGGTGCACAGGAAAGTGTGATTGGCCTCCCCACCCCACCAGGATGGTAGGCTCACCCCCCACAATTTAATCAAGTATCTGTGTCTCCCTGGAATAGAGCTTTCCTTCAAGCCAGATGTTACCTTGGAGAGAACTGTTCTTCTGAAATGCTGTTCTGCCAGTACAGCCTTCTTGGCTTTATCCTTGAGATATGCAACTTTCGCCCTCCAGGCACGCAGCACCTGCCTGAGAGCAGATATATAAAACTGAAGATGTAAAAACTGAGTGAAAGTCTTGCCAAGAACAATTCCTTTCCTTTTAGAGGTCTGGAATGGGAGAAATGTTGCGGTGGGGCAGTGTGCGTGTCTGCATCTCAAAGAATGAAAGAGTCTATACAGTTCTACAGCACCATCGGGCCAAGTTGCACAGAATTACAGATTTTAAAAAGTTACCGTAGCAGCTCCTGATTATGCCTCTTCTCCTTTTCGTCTACATCGTACAGAACGTGTTGTACTTTAGTCTGGTAAGTCTGCAAAGGGAAAGCGGTGAATCCGTATTTCTCCCAGATTTAGGCAAGATTATATTTAAGTCGTTTACCAACATCACTACCATAATTTTATAACCTTCATTTAAATGAAACCCTGAAATAGGCATACATGACTAAACATTCATCTCATCTTTCCTTTGTTTGAGAATAATGATGACACTGACTTCGTTCCAAGGCTGGGGATGATGGTAGTATTTTTAGTTACTTACTCATAGCTACACCTGGTGCTAAAATTTCTTTAAGACATCTGTACTAATCACCAGTGGAACCATCTGGTCTAGCAACCTTGTTCCTTTTAGCAGTTATTATTTATTTTAATTTTATTTACAGTAAAATTCCTATCTAACCATAACTGGGCTACTACTGGTAAGATTCAAAAACCTGTCCATTTTTGGAGGCTCTGGGGTACATAATTTTTTTAATATAACAGTAACTGCACCCTTATATAAAGTTTTTTTTAAGCGGTATCTCCTTTTTCCATTTTTTACTGGACTCAGTCCAAACCATCCCTCAAGGTACTGCACAAGGTCATTGTCCATGGCCCCTCCCCTTATTTCATCTTCACAACCATCCCTTGAGTTAGGTTGGTAATGGGTGACTGGCCCAATGTCAGACCTTGAGCTTCTCGGTAGAATGGGAATCTGACCCCAGTTCTCTCTTCACTCTCACCAAAACATCCTTCCAGCTGTATTAGCAATTACTTTTGTAACCAATTCTAACCAGGAGCTTATCTGCCTTTCAATTTTCCCTGAATCCAACAGATCTATTTTCTCCTTGATCAAACTTAATTCTGCCAATGTATTTTCAGAATGCTTTTTATTATCATGTTCCAAGGTTTTGATCTCTTCTAAAATACCCCTTGTTTGGTATTCTTTTCTTTAAAAATGCAGTGAATACATTTTGCCAATAAACTGACCTCTTATAAATGTCTTGCATATTTCATTTTCCTTAAGATCTTGATTAAATATATCTCTTAATTCTGATTTCATACATCTATAACTTGACCCTTCCAAGACAATATCAACATTACACAGATGAAGCTTCAAAAAGGGAGCTCTGGAGGCAACTGACAGCTACTGTGTTCTAGGAATCAGGTTCTCTCCAATATACTACATCATTTGTTCCTTCTTTGCAAGTTTCTTATATCAAGGCAAAATAATGGTTAACTATGGACCTTCCTAATCTATTATTTGTTTCAAGCAATATACAGTAACAGGTTCTTCCATGTTCTGTACTCCAGATGATTTTTCATACCTGACACTGTTGGACACAAAAAGACCCTCCTCAAATACACAGCAACTATCCCAATGCAAGGATAATCTAGTTCTCTGCATTTGAATAATCCTACACTGAAAAGGCATTCTAAGGCATATACTGCAGGAGTCCATCACAGCCGAGCCAAACTAAGGTGGTGTCTCAAGGCTACAGCACTTGGTCACAGTAAATCACCTGGTATTGCACAAGTACAAACTTTAACATACCTTCCAAGCTGAAAGGATCCTGTGCAGTAATACCCGCTGGTAATGCACATCTGCTTTCACAAGCTTCTTCCACTTCTCAGACTGGTGTCTCAAATACTATAAGGGGAAAAGGCAAACGAAATTGCTGGGAAGAGCCATTTCCATCCCTGGGTGTGACAGATAGCTTTCTGTAGACTCAAGAGTTAGTGGGTGGTCTGAGTGAAAGATGCAGCTCAGACAGGTTATTTTAAAGGGGAGCCACACACAGAGACAGGTCACTGTTCACTGAAACTAGAGACAGGCCTTTCACCTCTGCTTTACTCTAAAAGATCCTGGACTTCAGAGATGCAATGAACCAGCCTTAGTCAGTGCCCGACTAAGTTCAATATAGCAACTAAGTAGCACGGTTTGAAAAAACAACTTGCCTGTTGTGCAGGTTCTACAACCTGGGTAAAAGCAACTGCAACACACACACACACACACACACGCACCCAATTCTGGGAGCTGCAGGGTTATACTTTGCATTGCTTTCAACCTGGTCTGGAGATAGAGAAAGTGATGGGAAGCACAGATTGGGATGGGTTGTGTCTGGACTGGAATCTAGCTCTAGGCCAAAGCTCTGTTTAGTCTTTAGAGTCCCTCTGCTAATATACTGGACTACTCTCTCCTGAGGAATTACAGGAGGGGGAGAATGTGAAAATTACATGTTAAAAATCTCCCCTACCAGAATTCTGTAAGCTCTTAAGTAAGCCTATTCACCGATCTCCTTGTCTCTCCCCCCTTTTAACTGACTCTCAGCTACTATCAATATTTTGCCCCGTCTGGAACATACTCAGTCCCTCAGACCAGACTTTGAATTTGTTTTCCTTTTGATTAATTTACAACCAGGACCCCCAATCTAAGTAAGCCTGTTGGCACTTCTGGAATGCTGCAAAAGGGCAGTGGCAACTACTAGTGGGCAACACTAGAAAAATAACTACTGGGGGGGGGATATCTAAATATTAGAGGTTCCAATCAGGCCTGTAGCTACAGTGGGGCATTTCAGGGCCCTGACCTCTTAATTAAAAGCCCTGCCCCACAAATAGCCATGTCAGGAATCTTATTTTTGCATGTTTCCCAAAGGCTCATGGGAATGCTTTTGAAAGACTCACCATGACCTCAGTGGTCTATAGCAGGACTGGACTAGCAGACAGGGGGATTGTTGGAGATGTATTGAAGGTACCACTCTTGAGTGCCCTTCTAAGCTTTCTTGCCCCATGGAAGGGAATTCAAAAGGCATTTAAATGCCTTCTGAAGACAATTAAATGTTCTCTGAGCTGTTTTTTTCCTAAGAACTGATGCACTTGCTGCCCTGTCCCTTGGAAGGAAGGGCTAGGAACAGGCGTAGAGCCTCCCCTTTTAAAGACAGGCATTCAGATTAATTGAATTGTTAACTGTCCCCTTAAAAAATTAACTGCCCCCAAACAAAAAAAAATCCTGGCTACAGGCCCGGTGCCAATAGAGCTGCTGTTGCCACCATCTGAGAGGAAGGGAACATTGTGGGGCTCAGCTGCCTCTGAAGAGCCCCAATCAGCCTGCTTTGCTGTGAAAATTTGGGAAACATTGCAGTAAAATCTGGTAGTCCGCCATTCAGGTTGGAAATCTGAGATTTTCCCTCCCATGAAACAGACATTTTCCCTATCCCTGTACCCATGATGGCCTCCTCCACCACCAGCAGTGGGGGATTTAAAAAAATAATAATCACCAATTAAATATCATCGTCTCAATACAACACTGTGTAACTGGTTCTCTGAACTCCCAGCTTTCATTTAAGAAATAAATCTGTAGCCACTTCCATTGCAAAGATATAGCAGGAAAGGCATACTATGGTAACAAAAGGGGCTTTTTTTAAAAAAAAAATGAAAGTTGAGAATTCAGAGAACCAGTTAAACATGTTGTTATAATGCCTTTTTCATGAAAAAGCCTTGATGGCCTGGGGCAGAGGGGATGGATACTGGGGAGGAGAAACTGTAGGGAAAAAAAACTTATTGCCACTGTACCAGCAACAGGGAAATCACACAAGCCTGTTCCTGCGTGAAAACTACCTGGATAAGGCAGCGGGGATAGAGAAGAAAACAAGAAGAGTTCCTGAAGGTGTTGGAGAGTTGGAATAGTGGAGCCTCCTCCAATGGAAGGGGAAAGGACTCTTCCTAGTTTGCACAACTCTGCCTGAGACTGAACTGGAGGAGTAACGCTCACAAAGAAACCCCCAATTTGTCACTGTTAGAGGAGGGTTTCTTGAGGTAGAATTTCTAGGTACACATTACTCTTCACAAGCAGCTAGGCTAAGAGTACTGGTTGCTTAGCAACCACAGGAGAAGGTGGATTTGATGATGCATCATTTCTCTCACCTGTTGCCACTTACACCAGGACCCCTGCAGCAGCTTTATGGAGTGGAACCTCAAAGCTTTTTCCTCCTTCTTTCTCCTGAAAGAAACCACAACCGGCACTCTCACTCTTCAAGTGGACATGAGCCTTCACTTTTTTGCTATTTTGTGCTCTTGTGAGCAAAGCTGTTTGCTTATGTAAGGTATCTACTTTTTTGGAGCACTGTAAGAGTATTATTATTTCTCTTGAACTAAACTCAGTAGCTAAATGAAGGAAAAATACATATGGTCACAGCAATATGCAGAGCAGTGTCACATAACTAGCTATCTATATTTTTCGAAAACCAGGCTGTTGTTAGCATATAATCATTAAAGTTCAAAGTAACCTTTAAGCCTGACGGGTGTCAGGTTGGGATTCAATTGGTGCATTTTCACTGAACTCTGACCAAAAGGAGGAAACCTCCAGAAAATCAGCAAGACCTGGAAAGGACCCTCTAGAACAATAAACCAAAACAGAGCATGTGATAAGGGTATCTGGTAACATCTAGACCAAACTTGTTCCCCCAGCTAAACAACATCTGCACCATGCTACACTTTTGCATCATGATGGTCTTGCCTCTCTTAGAACTTTGCTCTGTGGATGAGGAAATAAGTTCTGTGCTGCACCCAGGGGGTAACAGCAAACAATGCAGCCAGTGGGAAATGGTCACCAGAGCAAAAAAAAAATCAGAGGAAAAGGCAGCGATCAAGAGGAATAACTGGACAGGCTTAATGAGCCTGATGTGGCTTGTGGCTCAAAGATGCAAGATCACCATTGATGTGGCATTTACAGAAACAAAAAAAGAAAGCAGGCATTGTTATCCTCTTATAACTCTTTTACCCTTCTTTCATCTCCTGAATGTTCTCCTTCCAGAGATGAAAAGTCGCCTGCAAGATTTGGTGACAGTAATGTTCTTGGGCCAGGGTCTCTTCCTCTTGCTCTTCTATATGCGCCACAGTTCTCCTGCACCATAAATACCAGAAGCGGGCCAGCAGCTGTTGGTCAGAGTGTAGAACAGCCTGCCAAGAGAGGAGAGTACCAGGGAGAGCAGTCAATATTGACAGCACTAGCGTCATCAGAGATTATCATAACCACAGAAAAATTCCCTTACACGGCTACCTATGCTACAGGGTGAAAATGAAAAACTGGATTTACTGTGAGGGTTTCTTTTCATAGGTGGAAAAAGGATATCCTGGCGAGGATTCCTCCACCTACTTACTTCAAAGACAGAGTGTTGCAAAATGGACAGCATCTTGCTTTCCTGTGGGACGACCTCCCCCCCATTTCAGTGCTTTCCTCATCAGAGAGTCACCAAGAATAATAAACTTATGCTGCAGTCCTAAGAACACTTTATTGGGAGTATGCCCAACCTGGAGCCTTTACTATTTGTCTAGGGTGACATGGATTTGAGTGACAAGGATGAAAAAGCAGCTGTCTGCTTTGATTTTGATTTCTTGGTCAGCATTATGACAGATCTGATCTTGCAGTGTCTGAGAATGGAGGAAAGAAGCCATAAAAAATTGATGGTCTAGCTGTTGATTATTGAAATGGCTGAACAGCACTCTGGGATGCCATGTTCCTTCAACAGTGGGACAGCTCTCCACAAATCACAAGGAAAAGAGACTTGGTCTGTTTTGCATAACCCTCCCTGTGCAGCAGCTCTGACGGAACATGTGAAACAGCCTTATATGGAGTCAGAGTATTGGTCTGTCAAGCTCAGTATTGCCTACTATGATCAGCAACAGCTTTCCAGGGTCTTTCACATCACCCACTACCCAATCCTTTTAACTGAAGATGCTGAGGATCTTCTGCATGCAAACCAAGTGTTCTACCACTGTGCCACAGCTTCACCCCTCAGCAAGAGGCATAACTCTCACTAGGCTATCTTCCTGTAGTGATGGAAAAGTGTCATACCTGCTCAAAATGCGCTCATTCACAAATGTGGAAACTGCCTATTGTCTGGCGAGGAGTACGGGGGGGGGGGGACTAGAATTACCATTTTTTCTGCCATGTGGTTCTCTTGCTGCCGATGTGTTCTCAGCTGCCACCTGTCAAATAAACGTCTTGTCCATGTTTCCCTGCCAAGCAGCAAGAATGACCAATGAGCTCAAGGGTCTCCAAGAAAAGATTTCTATGTCCAGGACACAGGTGTTGTAATAAAGAGCCCAAAAGATTAGGTAACAATTTGTCTGGGTTGGGTTTTTTTTAGTTTCCATTATGCTTTTATTACTGCACTTATAATTTTTATCGATTGCAACTTTTATGGTTCTAAAGGATTTTCTTTTAGCTGATTTTGTAGTGTTTTATTTTATTTTATTGGTTAAAAGCTCTATACATTCCATTAGGCCTTTTATATGCAGAGGTGGGATCTAAATATGGGTTCCTGAATACAGATATGACACTCCCCTGCAAACAGAAAAACAGAAGAGCCAGCAAAAGCCCAGGTAGAACTTTTCTGTCTTATGTGCTAGAACAGGCCACCCCCAGTGTTTTTGACCCTGTGAGCACCCTTAGAATTCTGACACAGAGTTGTGGGCTCAACTGCAATATCACTGCTATGGGAAGCAGAGCCAACCACAGTATGTCCGCGAGTGAGGACATGCATAACTCTAATAGTAAATCTTCAACATTTCAGGCAGAAGCTCCGCTTCATGGGATGCCTTCTTGAATGAATGTATTGTTTTCAAGTGAAGATCCTTGTCCTGTGGTGGCAGCTGCCAGCAAAGCAATGTTTTTTTAAAAAAAACAATCAGCTCTCCAATGGCCAGCTGATGCTCTGCTGGGCAAAGGCCACACCCACTTTCGAAAAAGACTTGGCTAGCACCAGGAAAGGTGATGGTCAGTGTCATGCTGGAGATCCCTGAGCTACAACCTTTCTTGTTGATGTGGTGCAGTCACTACTGAAATATATTCGATGCCCTAAAAGCAAACAAGCAAGCACACAAAAAAATCTAACCAAAAAAAATAAACCAAAAGAGAAAGGAAAGAGAAGGCATTGGGCAGATTTGGGGTGGTGGTGGTGGAAGAGGGATTCAAAAACAGAGACAGGAAAAAAGAAATTTCCAGAGAGTTAAGGAGCAAAATCTCAAACGGCATCCAGCTATGGAGCAGACAAAACTGGAACTGGGAAGTCTCCCCCCCCCCTCAGGCTGGGATTAACATTCAGCCAATTAACATTGCCATGCCTGTGCAGCAATCAAGAGAAGTAACCTGGCCTGGAGTTCCTCCTCCGCCAACAGAGAAGTTCTTTTTCCCTCTGAAGTACTAGGCTGCCACAGTAGTGTGTGAAAGAAAAAGAAATCCCTTTGCACAGTCCCCTTCATAAGAATATGTACAAGGACTCTGTCTCCTTGCATAGCATCAAGATGAATGACTGATCTAGTTTAATGTTTCCAACTCTGCTAGAGACTGTGGAGGTATTTTTGGCTCTGCCACCAGAGATTTCTTAAGAGAAGTTGATGTCAAGAAGAAGAAGAGTTGGTTTTTATACCTCGTTTTTCTCTACCCTAGAGAGTCGCAAAGCAGCTGACAATTGCTTTCCCTTCCTCTCTCCACAACAGTCACCTTGTGAGGTATGTGGGGTTGAGAGAGTTCCGACAGAACTGTGACTGGCCCAAGGTCACCCAGCAGGCTTCATGTAGAGGAGTGGGAAATCAAACCCAGCTCTCCAGATTACAGTCTGCCATTCTTAACCACTACACCATGCGGAACAAGTTACTTCGCATATGCAGTCATTTACAGAGTTCTTCAGCAGCATTCTCCTTTTAGTTAAAAGCTGTTCATAAGAACAACCCACTGTACCTGTGAAAGCACATGGCTGTACTTTTCATCTCTCTCCACCAGCACTGATGAGCCCTGAATCGCTTCCAGGCTTGGAATGTGGCAGGCAAGATTCTTCTCCCATAGTGAGCATCCGCCTCTGCATACTGCAACTGAAGAAAAATGGTAGCCTTAGTGTGGATTTCAGAGCAGGAAATAGAGCTGTTATATTGAGGAAATGCCAAAGTTTGAGGTAACTGAAAGAGAGACAGACAGATACAATATATACCATGACTAAAGTGGGAAGCATCAAACTAGAGACTTGCTTTTTGTTATTAGGGG